ACAAATTTTCATAATGTTCAAGGTTAATTTTGCATCCCTTCCTGAAAAAACTCAGTGTAACTTTAAATAGTAAAAATTCTTGAAAAGGCATTTTTTTCCCCTCAAAGAGGCTGTTTTATGTGTATTTCCCCCCATAGTCTGCCTTTAGTACAGTTACTTGTGTGCATATTTTATGCCCTTTACTGAGTCTTGGAGGATGGGCTAGATCTCATAGTTTAAAATGGTGTTTGAATGGACCAAATTTGGAGACGTGTGGAGGGTGTGGTCTAGCCGAGCCAGTCCTTTTTCAATAGTAATGCTTCAGGTGTTTGCCAGTGACGCACTTGAGTTGAATTTTAGCCAGATTACGTAAAAAAGAAAACCAAAAGACTTTTGTTGGCAGGACTTTTAAAAAAGGAGTGTATTTGTGAATGGTTACCTCAAAAAAAGTAAACATTTGACAAATATAGTAAAACCAGGTTTACTTCTCTAGTGGAATATTTTAAGTGGCTTTTTGATGAATTTAGGCTGGTTTTTCTTTTAGAGTGATTTAAAAAAAATAGTATTTCATAGTGTACACTACATTAGCTCTTCAAAATGCAGCCCTTTATGGAAATTCTGTTTTAGATATGTTCTAGTGTAGGTAGGAAGAATTAGACAGGAGGGAGTAAGAGTAACTTGAAGAACTTTGTTAATTATGTGGATTACTGAAAGCATTCAATGTTAAGATTTTTGCTGTCAATAGCAACCTGTTCTCTTCTCCAGGACCTGAGTGTGGGCCTAGCTTCAATGCAGGATGGTAGCCTGGAATGGCCACGTTGGTGCACATCATTTGACTCTTGAAGGCCATTAAATCTAATGACGTGAGCTCTTGATGGAAACAGGGGTTGCTCCTGGTGATGTCTGAGAGGATGCTGGCCTCCTCGAGGAGCCAGACTCACCTCCGCAGGGATGGGTGCTTCACTCTTGTCTCTGGACCACCTTGCTGACTTTCTGTTGCTGCCTTGACTCCTTCAGGAGGCCCAAGTGTATTTCGGAATGACCTGGTTTATGCAAAGTGAATTTTAAGGCACCCTTACTGTTCTTTTAAGGCACCTTGTAGGATTCTAGTAGTAGGACACATGAAAACAAGTGTCCTAAAGGGTTAGGACCTGTGACACAAGTCTGTGCAAGGTTCCTGGGAGTCTTCAGGAGGGTCTTACGTGGTAAATTCTATGGGGGAGGGTGAAAAAAAGCTCATGAGTGTAGTATTTTTACACAGAAAAAAAAAATAAAAAGTTAATGGTTATCTCCTAAATACGGAATTGCAGGTAATTTTATTGTCTGTGTTTCTAATTTTTTATGAGTAGAAAAATTTTACTTTTTTTTTTTTTTTTAGAAAAAAAAAACTCCAGTTTAAAAAAGAAACCATGGTACTGTTGATTTTTATATGGCAGAGATTGGCCAACTTTATTATGAATTTAAGGGAGGAACGGAACTAATTGAGTGGCCATTTTGTGCTAGCTTTGACCCTTTGTTATCTCATTTAATCCTCAGTAATGACCTTGAATGGCTTCAACCTCATTTTACAAATGGGGAAATTTTACATTTTACAAAATGGAAATTTTATATTTTACAAATTTTACAAAATTTTACATTTTATAAAATTTTACATTTTACAAATGGGGAAGCTCAAAGAGATCCTCTTAAGAGCCCCAGCTAGAATTTAAATCCTGGTCTCCAATCTCTGTGGACTTTCCATTCTTCTCTCCTAGTTTTCCAAGCCTTTTTGGAAGAGGGAATTATTGATGTTGGCTATTTTGAAGCCCATCTTAATTCTGTTGTAATATTTCTGGTGTAATGCCAAGCACAGTAACTTGAACACAGATGGTTCTTGAATAGAAACGTGGTCACCGGATTCTGGTACATCAGCATGCACCCGGCTGCAGCACTTCTCCCAGTTGAGTTCAATATCCAGAGTTGGTCTTTAAAAACCTTAAGGATGAGTATTTGTAAGTTTTGAATGTTGCTGCTCTGTCAGTAAGTTGTAGTTATCTTTAATAAGACTGCCTGAACTCTGCAGATAAATGGATATTTTGTCTCATTTCTGTGGCAAATGAGCTGAGCAAATAACTTCTTGTATAAAATGAGAATGTTGAGTTTAGATCATGTCAAAGTTTCCTTTCAGTTGCAATATTGTTTCAGCCTGTTAATTAACTTAAAGCATGCTAGTTAGAGAGTTTTTAGTATTTTTTAAATCTCTCTCTTGTTTTTAGTGCCCTCTGCTTGGTTCTAGTGAATTCACAGAGCTGCAGACCTTGATAGGAAAATAATATTAGAGAATAGTTTTTATTTTAGTTTTTGCCCCTGTCCCCAAGAAAGAGATGTCCCTTACGTTTCTTTTAACCACAATCCGTTTTCTCAAGTTTATCAAACCATTTATGTTTCTCAGTTTTGTTTTGTTTGTTGCCTAAGCTTTCTCTTTGTCTAATGTGACAACCTAGGCAGACATTCAGCTTCATTTGTAATAACTTTTTTTTCTGATTATAAATGTAACTCATGATCATTAGAAAATGTGGAAAGTACAGAATAGTAGAAAGATAACCACAGTGAACTTATTTGTGCCTTTCTGTATAGATTTTCCCTATAGTTTTTGCGGAGTTGAACATTTTGCATATGTCATTTTGTTTTCTTCACTTAAACATCCTAAAACATGTCTCCATGTCATTAAACAGTGTAATTATCTTAAATGGCAACATGTTATTATGGATGTGATTATGTTGAACCATTCTCATGTTGTTGAAGATCTTTTATGCATGAATGTTTCTCCATATTCCCGAATCTTTCTTTAGGATAGAATCTTGAGAGTGAAATGACTGGTCTAAGAGTACAAACATTTCTAAGGCTTTTATTACAGCTACAAGTTTTTTCAGAAAGTGTTTCAGTTTAGTGTACAAGTAAGGAGTGTTGTGTTTTATTGCTAATTTGATCAAGGCAAAAATTAATGCGTTGTTTTAATTTTAGTTGGTCAAGTACAGCATTAATTCTTACTGAGTAGAGTATAAAGAGCCCAAGAGATAAGGTTAAAATTAATGTTTTAGACTTAGCGGTAGTATTTTGGGGACGTTCTGTCAGTGCTAGACATTTTTGCATTTTTGCTGCAGCTGTCTTCAGTCTAATGATTCTCATATAGCTTTTTTTTTTTTTTTTTTTTTTCCCCGCTGAGGAAGGCCAGCCCCGAGCTAACATCTGTTGCCAATCTTCTTTTTGCTTGAGGAAGGTTCACCCTGAGCTAACATCCTTGTCAATCTTCCTCTTTTTTTACTTGAGGAAGATTGGCCCTGAGCTAACATGTGTGCCCATCTTCCTCTATTTTGTATGTGGGTTGCTGCCATAGTGTGGCTGCCGATGAGTGGGTGCCTGGGAACCGAACCTGGGCTGCCGAAGCGGAGCATGCTGAACTTAACCACTAGGCCACAGGGCCAGCCCCTCATATAACTTTTTGAATTGTTGATACATACCTCTTTGAAATAAAATCTGGTGCAAGTTAGGGATCCTCACCTTAGAAAAATGCACTTATACATACAATTCTGCATTTTATTTCAAGAGTTATTGGACCCCCTGAAGACTGTCCCTGGATCTCAGGTTAAAAATCTGTATTCTAATTGGAACCGTGGGAAGAAAGGATAGTTGGTGAGTCTTGGCAAACCAGAGTGCTGGATTTTGTTTAGTAATTGCAAATTCTTGAACATACTGGATTTGCTGGGTCATGCCAAGTTGAAAGGGAGGTAAGCCAAGCTCCAAGTATTAAGTTTTGCTAATTTGGCAGCTCAGATTGAGTGCTAGAAGGTGACGCATGGTTTGACTTGTCGTTGATCGAGTTCTGTTGAAACTTGAACTAATCAGTCTTTTTTAAAAATAAGTGTAGACATACTAAGTATACCTAGTTTTTTGCAACTTTCTACTAATTTTGAATTTATCTTTAAAAACACCCCCCCCCCATGATTTCTGTGTATTTTCTGGAATTGCCTTTTTATTCTTAGCTTCTTTTATAGCTCAGTCTTTACCTCATGGATTATCATGCCTATTAATGTACCAATTGGATACAAAACCTTGAGGGAGGCACTGCAGTGGGGGGGCTGGTTATAGGGCTGATGGTGACTGGATGAGGGAAGCTGAGACTCTGAAATATATAGACTGCGAGTAAATGCTGGTTTGCTCAGTGAGGTTTAGATTTTATTACTAAAATTCTTAGTTTGTTGTAGTTTGATGTTCTCTAGTTCCTAATTACCTTTTTCTCCTTTAAACAGTTGCTTTTATGGTGCAGTTTTTTGGGATAAGTTTTATTGAAATAACCATCCTAGCAGAGTAGACTGTTTCTTTTGGGAATTGCCTGTTTTCATCTCATATATATGTGTTTATGTGATACATATATATATAAAATATATATTTATTATATTATATATAATATATATTTTATTTAACTTATATTTATATAATATATACCATATGTAGTATATACATGTTTTGGTTTGTTCAACTTAGTGTAAAAGCTCTTCAGAGGCTATTATAAATTACAAAACATTTTTTTCCTAGTCTTTTTGCCTTTCACCTTTGTTTATGATAATTTTGACCTACAGAAGTTTTAGATATTTGTGGCTAAATAATAGATTTTACCTTTTGTAGTTTCTGTTTTTGGTGTTATACTTAAAAAGCCCTTCCCATCCCCCAGAAAATCACTTTTTCCTCTCCCCACCTGCTCTTCTTCCTTTAGGATGGTCCCTATTATCTTTGTTTTTATTGAAGTATAATTGACACACAATATTATATTAATTTCAGGTGTACAACATCGTGATTTGACATCTATATACCTTACGAAATGATCACGCTAACATCTTTGTAGAAACCAAATCCTCACGTACAAGGACAGAGTGATATGCAGAGTAGTTCCCAGTCCCTCTGTCCCCTCCCCCTGACTGCTCTCCGGCAGGCTGCTCCTCTGATCTGGTCTCCTTTCCTCGAGTCTCTGCCCTACGGTCGTAACCGTCGGGGAGTCGCGCACTCCGATCAATACCTGTTGGAGGGTTGCTCAGTCTACAAGGTCAGGTGCCAGCTCCTTAGTCCTCTGCTGGTCAGCCCTGCTGACCCCCGAGTGAGGTCCCTGTCCTTGATGACTCACGCTGACGACTTAACACAAAGAGTGAGCACGTGTGTGTATTGACTATAAAACTGTCGAGTGTGCAGAGGAGAATAAGGGAAAAGTCAAAGCCCACGACCTCCCATCGTGGTTTTTCTCATTTTTCTCACATGTTCTCTTGGACTTCTAGCCCGTAGCACTTTGTGCACATCCTGCTGGAGTGCTTGTGCACATCCTGCTGGAGCGCTTGTCGGGTTTTACTGTCAATGTTTATATGCTTGTTCCCTTTGTTGGCCTTCAGGCCTGCCAGAGGCAAGGGCTAGGTCTCAGTTCTCTCTCGTTTTCGTGATTCTTCGTTGAACTGTGGAAAATGCTCGGCACATATGCAGAGTTGGCAGACATCGACTCTGGGAAGATTCTTACTGTTGATGCCTGTTCTTTCCTTTGGACAGGTTGGTGGTATTCCTGCTTGCAGAACACGATGTTTTCCAAACTAGCACATTTGCAGACTGTTGCTGTGCTTCGTCGTGGAGTTCATTCTTCAGTGGCATCTGCTACCTCTGTTGCAACTAAAAAAACGGTCCAAGGCCCTCCATCCTCTGATTACATTTTTGAACGGGAGTCTAAATATGGTGCCCACAACTACCATCCTTTACCTGTAGCCCTGGAGAGAGGACAAGGTACATTTGGATTAATCCACTCCCCCCCCTTTTTTTGCTTGAACACTTTTGTAAAAATTGCTTTTATATGTTCTGAGGATACATTTTTCCAGATGCATTTAATTTCTATATTGCAGATATGGTTAATTCAACATTTATTGAGTGTCTAGCTCTTGCTGTGTTAGGTGTATGGGGAATACAAAGATGAACTCATTCAGTCTTTGTCATGCTGGACCTTGCCAGGAGGGAATGTGAGATACATGAGTAAAGTACTATAATATTGCTGTCATTTTTTTCCTTTAACTTTTATTTTGGCATAATTTTAGATTTAAAGAAAGGAAAGTTGAAACAGTAGTGAAAAGAATTTTCTTTTAGTCTTTACCCAGATTTCCTAAGTGCTAACATTTTACTACATTGGCTTTATCTTCTTTCTCTCTCTCTCTCCACACACACACATGTACACACACACAGCACACACAGAATGAATACATTTTCTTCCTGAACCCTTTGAGAGGAAGTTGCAGACATGGTGCCTCTTTACCCCTAAATACTTGGTATATCTTTCCTGAAACATAAAGACTTTCTCTTCTATAACAACAGTGTAATTATCAAAATAAGGAAATTAGTAGGGGCTGGCCCAGTGGCATAGCGGTTAAGTTTGTGTGTTCAGCCTTGGCGGCCCCGGGTTTGCAGGTTCAGATCCTGGGGGCGGACCTATGCACTGCTTATCAAGCTGTGCTGTGGTGGTGTCCCATATAAAGTAGAGGAAGATGAGCATGGATGTTAGCCCAGGGCCAATCTTCCTCAAAAAAAAAAAAAATCGGGAAATTAGCATTGATACAGCACTTTTATTTAATCTACAGACCTGATCCAGATTTCATTTGTTATCCTGTATAGCAAAAGAAAATCTCAGATCATAGGTTGCGTTCATTTTTCAGGTCTGTTTAGTTTTCTTTAGTCCAAAACAATTCATCAGTCTTTGTCTTCTTGACCTGATATTTTTGAAGAGGACAGGCCAATAATTTGACGGAATGAACCTCAGTTTGGGGTTGGCTGGTAAGGTAGTGTCTGCCAGTCTTCTCCACTGCAAAGTTACTCTTTTTCCTTTTTAAATATCTTTGGGGTCATGGTTTGAGACTCTGCAAATATCCTGTTACTCATCAAACTTTTACTCACACTTCTAACATCCATTAGTGATTCTTTCCAGAATAAGTGATTACTGATAGTCACCAAATGGTGATTTAATCCACATTTTGAAATAACAGCCTTAACCAAATAAAACCAAAGTTTATTACTTAGCTTTGGGCCAGAAGATGATGTATAAGAGTATTAAACATTTTTGTCATTTACTTGTATTTTATTTGGGACCAGTAGTGTAATATAGGTAAATCTCCTTTTGAACAAATGAAAATCTAGATTTATATATTACGAATTTGGAAACGGTTTGGTTTGCAAAAATATTCTTCACTTCGAGTAGCGGAGCCTGGACTCCGGCATCTGACTGCCTAGGTTCAGGTCCTGGTTCCATGAGTGCCACTTTGGGCGAGTTATTAATCTAAGGGTCTGTTTCCTTATCTCTGTACTGCAGGGATGGTAACACTCGCATAGGGAGCTTTTGATGAGATAAGGGACAAAAGCACCTAACACAGTATGTTAACTACATGGTAAAAGTTAGATGTTAAGCCCCCCAATACATTTTAATATCTATAGTCAACTTAAAAAAAAAAATAGTTGTAAATGTACATAATATAAAATTTACCATTTTAGCCATTCAGTTCAGTGGCATTAAGTACATTTACACGGTTGTACAACTATCACCTCTAGCTAGTTATGGAACTTTATTACCCACAAAAGAAACCCCATACTGATGAAATGGTCACTCCCCATTTTCTCCTCCCCCTACAGCCTGGTAGCTGCTAATCTGCTTTCTGTCTCTGTGGATTTGCGTAATCTGGATATTTCATATAAAGAGAATCAGACGATATGTGGCCTTTTGTGCTTGGCTTCTTTCACTTAGCATATTGTCAAGGTTCATCCATGTTATAGCATGTGTTTGTACTTTCTTGCTTTTTATGGTTGAGTACTATTCCCTTGTATGGATAGACCGCATTTTGTTTATCCATTCTTCAGTGGATGGACATTTGGATTGTTTTCACCTTTTGCCTATTGTGAATAGTGCTGCTATGAGCATTCGTATACAAGTTTTTGTTTGAACAACTGTCTTCCACTTCTTTTGGGTGTATACCTAGGGGTGGGATTGCTGGGTCACATGGTAGTTTTATGTTTAATTTGTCGAGGAGCTGGCAAACTGTTTTCCATAGCTACTACACCGTTTTGCATTCTCTCTAGCAATATGTGAGGGCTGTGATTTCTCCACATCCTTGTCAACACTTGTTTTTTTTTTAAATTATAACCATCCTAGTGGGTGTGAAATGCTATCATTGTGGTTTTGATTTGCATTTCTCTAATGACTGATGATGTTGAGCATCTTCACACGTACCAGTTGGTCATTTCTGTATCTTCTTTGGAGAAATGTCCATTCAAGTTCTTGCCCATTTTTTAATTGGATTGTGTGTCTTTTTGTTGTTGACTTTTAAGAGTTCTGGATAGTAGATCCTTATCAGATATATTTATGATTTGGAAATATTTTTTTCCATTCTGGTGATTATTATTGTCAACTAATTATGGTTTTTATGTTACGTATAACTTCTGCCTTTAAATTCCAAACACCAGTTTTCTAGGATTAAAGGTTTCACTCTACAATTTATAAAACCTTTTCGGGTAATTCTGTTCTTGTTAAATAGGTAATTTGAAGCTAGACAGGTAAAATATAATTCCTTATAAACCAGAGTTTATTATGCTTGAGCTGAAACATATCTTAACCACAATTGTGTATTAAGTAGGAGTTCCTATGTATGTATTCAGGGGGCTTGCTAGCAGTCTTAATCTTTGAACTTTATGTAACTTAGTAATTTTCTAAAACTGTTTTCCTTATATATTTTAGGTATTTACCTATGGGATGTAGAAGGCAGAAAATATTTTGACTTCCTGAGTGCTTACAGTGCTGTCAACCAGGGGCATTGTCATCCAAAGATTGTGAATGCTCTGAAAAGTCAGGCAGACAAATTGACCTTAACATCTAGGGCTTTCTATAATGATGTACTTGGTGAATACGAAGAGTTTGTTACTAAACTTTTCAACTACCAGAAAGTTCTTCCTATGAATACAGGTAAAATATTTCCATTTTTTGTTAACTAGCCAAGAAAATAATCTTATTATTTTCTGATAATTTAAAACTGAAAAATTTTCTCTTGGTAGGAGTGGAGGCTGGAGAAACCGCTTGCAAACTTGCTCGTAAGTGGGGATATACTGTCAAGGGTATTCCGAAATACAAAGCAAAGATTGTTTTTGTAGGTATGTGAAATTCAACATTAACTGCCATGATTTAAACATACAATATTGTTTACCATTTTAATTTACAGATTAAATATTTCTAATGTGATCACCTCAAACGTGATGTACAAGCCAAGTGTTTCATAAATTTAATGAGGGATTTCCTTTGCTTGAGTTTATTTCCCAGTATTTCTTTATATATAGGATGTTTCTCTCCTAAATAGCTCCCTTCTCCTTCCTCCCTGAAATGAATGACTCTATGGTTTATTTTCGATTTGCTTATCTGATTTTCCTATACTAGTTTTCTGATTAATTAGATGGTCTTACTGTGGAGGGTTTTTGTTAGGTTGTTGAGATTGGGTTATGTTCGAGTGAGGTCATGTCCCAGGTATGATATGAAAGTTGAATCTTATTATTTGATGTATTGTTGTCTTGTGTTCTTAGAAGACGTTGGAAGAGGAGGGAGAGGTTTGGCCTGGATATATTTCTGGGAATGGTTGAGAGGATGACTCGAATACTGATTAGAGGAGGTTAAAAGTTAATAGAGATGATGGAATCTGACTTTTGGAATCTTTATAATGATGTTCTGTTGATGGGTTCTGACTATTTCTTAAAGCTTTGATTTTAGTTTTTAAAAACACAAAGTATATATGAATTTGTCACTGCACATAGTCAAAATTCATTCTTGCGATAGTTGAAATCGTTAAATATTCTGCCTTGTGAACATATGCTGTTAAATTATAAACCCCATTACATAATAGAATCCAGAGTTTGACTGAGAGGCCATGGTTGGTATTTAGGGGTGACTGATTAGTATTCCCGAAGAAGAAATCTTTGCACAGCTCTGTGACCTGCCATTTTGGAATCTTGTGCCTTAGTCGCAGGACAACGTAACTGTGTCTTGGAAATAAAAATGGCATTTCTGGTGATTTTCATTCTTACAGACAGTATCTAGTCTCTTTCATATTAGGAAAGGGTGCAGAGGTGTTGTTTTCACCTGAGTATTGAAAGAAGCTGGTGAGTCTGGGGTAGAGAGACAGAGAAGACGGTCCCCAGCTGTAGGTCCCTTCCTCCTGCAGGGCAAGCTATGGAGGATGAGAGTCCTGAGGCTGGGTAGAGGAGAGCAAATAGGCTCCTGGTCTAGTTGGTGCATTTTCTCTTAAACAAGCCTGGTCAAAATCAATATGCTGTTGCTTGTGGACAAGTAAAGTGGGGATTACTCACAGGTGAGAGAGGCTTTGCAAGAGTAGTGTTTAGAGATGCTATGAAGCCAAAGTACAATAATCGAGTACTGGATTCGTTGAGTTGGTGCTGGCAGAGGTGGTGGGAAGATATTTAAAAAAAAAAGAGTAGGCTAACCCCAGCCTCTATTATCCTGCATGTTTCTTCCTGTCCTTGAATTTAGCCCAGCTGGAGCAATCTTGTTCATGCCCTTTACTGGTTTATGGTGTTTCTTTCCTACCAGCATCTAAGTTCCTTGAGGGCAGGGTGCCTGCCAGTTGTCATCACCATTCCATCCCCACAGCTAGAATAGTGCCTGATGGTTAGTAGGTCCTCAGTCCAAGTCATTAATGCAATACACTGATGAGTAAAGAATGTTCCTGAACAAAGGCACATGTCTGTCATTTAGCACATAGAAGATGATAATACCAAGAAAGGCAAAACGGAAAGTGTTTGGATTGCCTGAGGATATTTTCTCCAAATGAAATTTAAAATTCATTCTGTAGAATAGTTAGCCTGTCGTATTGGATTTTTAAAAGGAAAACTACTGATTCTCTATGAAGGATGTCATCTTTCTCATATCACTGTCGTAAGTGCACCATCTCTAGAAAAACACGTACTGAACGCCTCGCTGTTAGTGTTTGGGATTATTGGAAGAGAAGATAAGTATCTATCCTCAGGGCTGTATACTGCAGTCGGAGGTTCAGCAGAGAAGTGCCTGAAATAGTAATTGCAAGGTCAGACCTTAGTGGTCATAAGAACCATGGTGTTTACTATCAGGCTTTGTTTTGACAAATGAAAGCTCACTGGAGGCTCTCTAAAGCAAACCTGTGGAATTTTAAATCAAACTTCATAAGGTATTTTTGGGGGACAGTGCTTATTAAATGTGGAGGTTTGTTTGGAGTAATCACTCTTTATTACTCTTTTCTAGCTGGAAACTTTTGGGGTAGAACATTGTCTGCCGTCTCCAGTTCCACAGACCCAACCAGCTACGAAGGTTTTGGACCATTTATGCCAGGTTTTGAAATCATTCCATATAATGATCTGCCTGCTCTTGAGGTACTTCAGTGACATCATGGTGTTTTAGCTCATAATAAATAGAAATTAAATTTTTTGACTGTATGAATTAAAAATAGATATGTGCCTGTAATGAAAATCTATCTTATTTAAGTTAGGCCAAGATTTGAGCCTTGTTCTCTGTAATGGTCAGTGAGTTTCCAACATGGGGAAATCATGTTCCGTGGTCTAATCCTGACAACTGACCAACCACTTTATTTTATTTTATTTTTTTAAAGATTTATTTATTTTATTTTCGCCCCAAAGCCCCAGTAGATAGTTGTATGTCATAGTTGCACATCCTTCTAGTTGCTGTATGTGGGACGCGGCCTCAGCATGGCCGGAGAAGCGGTGCGTCGGTGTGCGCCCGGGATCCGAACCCGGGCCGCCAGCATCAGAGAGCACGCACTTAACCGCTAAGCCACGGGGCCGGCCCTGACCAACCACTTTAGATTTGTATCCTGCATGAGTATTAACTGGATATTACCTGTTAATTACTCTACTAGACAAAATTACTCAGTTTTCAGCCAGCTTTTAAAAATTATGTGGTAGAGGACATGTAAAATAACAAGATTCACTTAAAATGTACATTTATATATTAGAAAATGCAGGATAGAGCAGCCTAAAGCTGAAGTATTTGGAGCTTCTGGTAATTGAATGTGAGTCAGAAATGTTATACTTTGAAGTCAGAATATAAGTTAGTGCGAAAACTTGATTTGCATGCTTATTCTTAACAGGAAAGTATGTGCAGTATGAGAGTTCAGATTTCCAAATAGCTTAGAAAGGAAGTTACTAAAATGTGTTCATATTTTTTTTGTAGCGTTCTCTTCAAGATCCAAATGTTGCCGCATTCATGGTAGAGCCAATTCAGGGCGAAGCGGGGGTGGTGGTTCCGGATCCTGGCTACCTAGTGGGCGTGCGAGAGCTTTGCACCCGGCACCAGGTTGTCCCTGTTCCCACCTGCCTGCATCCCTTAGGGTTTGGCCTGTGGGATAAATGAAAAGATTGCATCACCTTTCCACTAGAGGGAGACATTGTCCTGAGAGCTTCAGAACTTTCTAGTGCTCTCTATCAGCAGCCTGCACAGAAGCCAGCTTTTTACTGGCTCTGGAATCTGGCCAGACCCTGGGCCCTGGCAGAGCTGCAGACTTCCGGGCCCTAACTGTGGTTGCTTTCCCTCCTCCCCAGCAGCCTGGGCTGCGATCCTTCCCAAACCCCTTGTCGCATCCCTCTGCTCCAACATTCAAGCTCTCTTCTCTGCTTCCCACCAAGCTAGTAAATATTATTAAGAAGTAAATATTTAATAAATGTTTATGGAATAAATAAGTGAATTAACTTGTTCCCAGAGAATAGTTATCTCCCCAAAACCCCCACAAAACCCTCACTTTGCACAAGTGCCTTTCCACTATGTAGAACAGTGCGGAGTGGGCCTCTGGGGAGAGAGTGGCTGACACAGGAAATAATTGGTGTGGCTACAAGATTTTCATAGGACAGGATTGAAGTTGTGTAGGTAGCTAAGATATTTTCACAATCCGAGGGAATGTCAGAATGACAGATCTGTGGGGGGGAAGTAAAATAGAGATCACTCGTTTTCCTATGGAAATGAAAAAAATAATGCTGTTATATTATTTTCCAATAGGTTCTGTTTATTGCTGATGAAATACAGACAGGATTGGGGAGAACTGGTAGATGGCTGGCTGTTGATCATGAAAATGTCAGGCCTGATATAATCCTTCTTGGAAAGGCACTTTCTGGTGGCTTATACCCTGTAAGTTCTGTTCCCTACTCTCCTGAAACGTATTCCTAAAATATTTTTACATCAGCTGATTGTGACAATAATGCCTTTCCAATGGTTTGTTTTACTTAGTGTGCTACAGGTCACCTGGAATATATGTAATAAAAACATTGCAGACTTCCATAGTGTGACTCACTTAGTTAATTTTGTCTGAAGAACTGAGCAAGCCTTAGAATTTGCTACTGCATTTGTTTTGGAATGGAATGGAAACCTTTTACCCCCAAAGTACTCCTGTTGGCCTCCATGTTTTTTTCCGTTGTTCAGAAAGATAGCACTACTAATTATTTAAAACCATGACCGATTAAAGTATAGATTGGAAAAAATTAACGTTTTATAGTTCTGTTCTTGGGTTTGCTATTCAGAGCCAGTAATTGGTACTGGATTAAAGGGCTCTGAAGTATAGTGCAGAACATTATTTTCTAAGCAGTTAAACAAAGCATTTGACCTTGAAAGTGAGAATTCTAAATTGTATCATTGCAGAAACACTTCCCTCTTGGTTCCAAAATGCCATTGTTCTGTGCCATTGAAGTGTGCTTGATGTACTTGTAATGAGTCAGGGTATTATTCAGTTTGTCACTGGTAGTTAAGATGGCAGATGTGTAGCACTTGTTTGTTGAAGGTTTATGTCAAATTTAATATCAGTTTCATGTATATTTGTGTTCCTGGTGTGCCAAGCATAAGAATAGTTAGTCTGAGAAATGACTTGGTTAGCACTGAACTCTGTCTTTCAGGTATCCGCAGTGTTGTGTGATGATGAAATAATGTTGACCATTAAACCAGGGGAGCATGGATCAACGTATGGTGGCAATCCACTAGGCTGCCGAGTGGCCATTGCGTCCCTTGAGGTAAAAACTGATACAGCTGTGCAGTGTCCGTTCCTCTAGGTAGTGCTGAAGTGACTTTTAAGTTTGAGCCCATTGGTATAATGAGAAATGTAGTAAGATTGCCGAGCATTATAGAACATGAAGTACAGAGGAAAGATTTTAGGGGCAAGGCAGTCTCAGAAAGTAATTTAACCTTGGCCAAATAGATGGGAATCCTCTGTAGGCTTCCTGAGTTTGCGGCCACCTGGGGCCTTGGGGGTGGTAGGCCTGGCTGGCCTCACAGAGCTCTCACTGTGTGACCAGGCCTGGCCTGTCAGGCCTGTGGCTTAGCACACGTGGCTGTTTTCTTTTTAAATGTGGATTTGAGCACTTTTAGACTTATTCCTTAAGTGTCTGCCAAAGGCATAAAATTATTATGTAATCTCTACGGATGGACTTTTTAGGGAAAAAAATAAATTCTATTGCAGTTTAAAAAAGTATATTTGGGTCACTAATTTATCCAACTAATAAAATGTACCAGTTGCATTAAACAAATTTTAATCCCTATTTTGCCATAAAATCAGATTGATGATGGATTTTTGATTAGAGCAAGGCTCTGTCTGAGCTAGTGTATATTTAATTGGAAGTTAAACTGGTGTATGCTTTGAAAAATAGAAATGGAAGTGAAGTTACTCTGATCTTTATCTGATCATGTTCTTCTTATGCTTATAGTTCACATTCCCCTCCAAAGAACAACATAAAAAGGCAATCTGAACATTTGTGTGATTTCTATTTAAACGTAGGTCTTGGAAGAGGAAAATCTTGCTGAAAATGCAGACAAAATGGGTACAATCTTGAGAAATGAGCTCATGAAGCTGCCTTCTGATATTGTCACTGCTGTAAGAGGGAAAGGATTACTAAATGCTATTGTTATTAGAGAAACCAAAGGTACGGAGACCAAACATTTTACTCAAGATATTGTTGTGATGGGAAGACCTGAACACATTTGGAACTTGATCTGGTTGTTGGGTTCCTCTGTTTGAGACTGTTGACTGACTCCTATTGACCGAGTCTTTTAGGCAGAGTATCATCTGATTTCTATTAATGGTCTTAAAAAGATAGCTCTTTCCTACACAAGGGCACATTTAACTAATTTGCCCTATTTTTGTTCTGTAAGTCATTTGTTAGTCTGCCTGAGGGTAGTTGTGCAGCACTGGGAGCTGTCAGGGTTTTCTGTTAGTGAGTTTGCACAGAGCACTCTCCTTATGTTTCCTCTTCGCTGTCCTTCTGCCCTCGCTTTAAAACTCGGCATCTCTGTAGGGGCAGCAGGAGTGGCAGTAACAATGATCTGAATGATGATGAGGAAGTTGATAACAGAAATAACCCTAGCCGCCACTTAATCGAGTGTTTGATGTTTCAGTGCATCATTTGTAAGCCTTAAGTGTTCCTTGCTGGATTTTCTTGTGACAACCCTTCCTTTTAAAGCAGTGATTCCAACCTTGGCCACACTTTAGAATCACCTGGGGAGGTTTTTAAAAAATTAATCCAAGCCTAGCCTCACCCAGAGATTCTGATTTCATGGGTCTGGGGTGGAGCCCAGGCATTGGCAATGGTCCTTTTGGTGATTCTGATGTGCAGCCAGAGTTGAGATTCAGGCTGTAAAATGATGAGAGTCTAGTTCCACAAGCTCAGGAAGCAAATCCATGTTAGGAATGTGTAGTGTTTGCTGGGTTTTGAGTATTGCTCGTTCTCTGCCAGTTAGTTATCTGTATCATACCTGAATTCTTTTTGCATTGGTTCCTAATGTAATCAATACAGCAGCCTCAACACGTAATTTTTGTTTTGCTTGGTCTTTTTCATTTATGAAAAACTAATAAAAACCATGTGTCTGATCATACCATTCAAACCTAGTTAGGCACTTGCTGAAAAGTAACTTCATTTTACAGAATAAGAACAAACAAAGCAAGCTTGCAGCCCAAAGCTGTCTTTCTTGAGTCAGTACTGGGAATTCTGTTTTGCCAGGCTGCCCGTGTCCATGCATCCTGTGAAGGAACGTTCAGACATTGATCTTTGATCAGCACACGTTTGACCATTTTTCTTTAGATTACGATGCTTGGAAGGTGTGTCTGCGACTTCGAGATAATGGACTTCTAGCCAAGCCAACCCATGGCGACATCATCAGGTTTGCGCCTCCGCTGGTGATCAAGGAAGATGAGATTCAGGAGTCCGTGGAAATCATTAACAAGACCATCTTGTCTTTCTGAGGGTGGTGACTGTTTTCAGCGGGCCTGGGAAGCAGCTGGAGATAGGCAGTTCGTTGATGTCTTGTGAAAAGCTTCTGCGTTTCTCCCTTAACGCAGGCACATTCCACTCCCCTGTCTTCAAGGACTTCTGTTTTTAATATATATATTCTCCAGTTCATACATAATAGAATGACATTTATAAACACGCAGTTTGCTGTGTAACATAGCTATAAGAGAATGTAATGGCATCTATAATCGATTAAGTGTTTTTGCGTGTGTGTGCTTTCTAAAGTGAAATATGCATCTGTCTATATAGACAGCCTTTTAATCAAGTCCTTCAGTATAATTTATATATGTTTTTATAATTTCCTTGCTGGTATAAATGTTTTGTATTTGAAAAAGTTATATGGGGTATTACATAGAAGACTTGCTTAGCCTTATAAAGTTGAATTATAATCACTGAATTTGAGGAAAGATTCATGGTTAAGCTTATATAAAATACTAGATTTAAGTAAACTTCATATAAGCCAACACCAGGATATGTTCTATGAAGGTCATTATTTTGAATTAAGAATTAATGTTTAGGGCCGGCCCCGTGGCTTAGCAGTTAAGTGCGTGCGCTCCGCTACTGGCGGTCCAGGTTCGGATCCCGGGCACGCACCGTCGCGCCACTTCTCCGGCCATGCTGAGACCGTGTCTCACGTACAGCAATTAGAAGGATATGCAACTATGACATACAACTATCTACTGGGGCTTTGGGGAAAAAAAGGAGGAGGATTGGCAATAGATGTTAGCTCAGAGCCTGTCTTCCTCAGCAAAAAGAGGAGGATTAGCATGGATGTTAGCTCAGGGCTGATCTCCCTCACAAAAAAAAAAAAAAAAGAATTAATGTTTAATACTTCCAAATTAGTTTCAAATGTTTGATTAATTTGTAAAAAAATGTTTATTTTCAGTTTTTCTTTAAATTTAAAGTAAAGCTTATATTTAAAATGTCTATTTTGTGATCAGTATCTATTACTATTACTATTACTGCAGTATTATCGATGACCTCATGTTTGAAAGCTCTTTGAGGATATTCTTACCTTGCTTTATTTCATGTGTTTTCTAAGGGCATTCAGATTCTTTGATAATCTCTAGAAAAATAGAAATTATAAAAAGAAAGTCTCTTATAATAATACTTCCTTCCCCCCTTTCAAAATAATTGTTTATTCCTGTGTGTATACTAGTATTTACCATTTTTATTAAAGTTTCCTTATTAAGCATGGTATTCTGCAACTTTCTGGGTTATTTTATTCTTATTTTTTTACCTGAGCAGAGCATTTTAGATGCTTATCTATGTCAGTAATTATAAGTTGATCTCATTCTCTAATGATGATAGTGTTTCATCATACGTGGGTATATTATAATTTCATACTGGGGAACATTTGGGTTGTTTCCAGTTTTTCGCTCTTTAAACAAAGCTGGTTGTGACCACTTTGGTTGTGTCTGTACAGTTGTGTGTTTCTGTGGAGGAGGTCCCCAGAGGTGGACTGCTGTGTCAAAGGGAATGAAGTTTAAAATTTTTTTTTTCTTTTGCTAAGGAAGATTCGCCCTGAGCTAACATCTGTGCCAATCTTCCTCTATTTTTTAGTATGTGGGCTGCCAGCACAGTCTGGCTGCTAACAGTGGTGTAGGTCCGCGCCCGGGAACCAAACCCAGGCCATCAAAGCATGCTGAACTTAACTGTAGGCCACCAGGGCTGGTCCTGAACTTTTCAATTTAATAGTGCCATGTTGTCTCCTGCCACCCCCAGGTTCTCACCAGTTACCTCTTAGCCGCATGGGAGTTGAGGACTAAACGTGTGAGCAGTTACAGGAGGGTCTGCTCAGACTAAGGGCCATGCTTATTGGTCTGAGTGGGTGTTTCTGGTTTAAATGTCACAGGAGCCAGACAGATCCAAGTCTTTATAAGACACATGGCAAACTGGAGTGTGAGGCCTCTCCTAAGACGTTGAGAGGCTGCCAGTTCTCCACCCCTGGTTTGAACTATAGGAGGGGGTATTCCTGGTGCTGGTCCCAGTCTCTCAGCCTTACTGGGAAACCTGCTGGAGCCCCCAGCTTCGAGCCCCCAGATAGCCTGCGGCTGCACATTAGAATCAGCTGGTCTGCCCAGGCCTTGCCCCAGACTGGAATCTCGGGTGGCACCAGGCATCGGTAGCCTTAAAGCTCCCCAGGTGATTGCGGTGTGCAGTCAAGGCTGAGACCTGTCATAGGAATCCGATGTGTCTGTGGGGGTGGAGGGTACCTGAGAGTCTACACTTCCAACAAGCTCCCAGTCCTGCTGATGCTGATGCTGCCTTCGGGCATAAGATCATCAGCAGCAGTCAGTTTAATTTTCATTCAGCAATTCTCAGCCTTCAGAGAAGCCCTAACGGCTCAGTGATTTAAGAAATCAACAAGCCTCCTGCTAAATTCTTTAAAGGCCTGAATAGTTTGAGAAAGGCACTGCAGGAGAAAGCACAGGGGCCTGTGGAGAACCCTTAGAACCAAGGGTGCAAGAAGATGGGCCATGATGCTGCAGAGTGGAATTCCCGGCAAGGAGGTGAGGAAGCAATGGGATCTGAAGGGCAGGAGTGACTCGGGGAAGTGAGACGATCCCACACGTGCTAGAAAAGCCCACCAGGCTGAATGCCGCGGACCTGCTCACCCAGCGCGTGCTTCCTGGTGTGGCAGCCACACTGGGGCCGGCGGTGTGTGGATAGTGGAGGACAAGGCGGGAAGGCCCGCACGCTTCACTGTACAGTCTGCCAGGCATGAGGTGGGGGAGCCTGATGAGGGGCAGCCCGGGTAGCAGGAGGCTGGGAGGAGGTGGAAGCTTTGGAACTGGACCTGGTGTGGAGTGTCAGAGCTACTGCTGTGCATCTTAGAGCCTGGGCTTCCTCATCTGAGGAAGTGGGTTGAGGAGAGGTCTGAGGATTGAAGGAGATGGGGTGGGTAAAGCCTGGCCCAGGACCTGGCAGAGCTGTATCAGTGAGTGAGCTGCTAACCCACACGGTGCAGATGCTGCACTACGGCATCTGATCATGGTCAGGAGTCCCCAACACACAACTGGAGGGGCGGGGAACCTCTGGATGAGGGTGACAGCCAGAGGAGGAGAGACGGCGCAGAATTGATGGGACTGGCTGTCAAAGTAGAGAGAACCCCCCAGAGGATGGGATGCCACACACACAATCGTCCAAAGAGAGATCAGAACCCAGGCGCTATTTTGCACTTCAGATAGTTGCACGTTAATCCTGTGTTAGTTGGCTAGGGCTGCCATGACCCAATACCCCAGACTGGGTGTCTTAAATGACAGAAACTTATTTCCTCACCATTCTGGAAGCTACAAGCCCAAGATCAAGGTGTCTGCTGGGCTGGTTTCTTCTGAGGCCTCTCTTACATGGTCCATCATCTGTGTGTCTGTGTCCTAACCTCTTCTTATAAGGACACCAGTCACATTGGGTTAGGGTTCACTCAAATGACCTCATTTTAACTTAATTACCTCTTTAAAGGCCCGCTCTCCAAATACAGTCACATTCTGAAGTATTGGGGGTTAGGATTTCAACGTATGAATTTTGGGGGGGAGGGGTGACACAATTCAGCCCATAAGAAACCCCAACGATTTGCTCTTTGGAATCTGACCTTCCAGGAGACCTCATCTAAGTTCATCATTGCACACATAAGCAAACAGAGGTTCAGACAAGACTTCTGATTTACCTAGGATGATACACGAGGCAAAGTTACAGTGCATTTCAAGCACTAGGAATTTAAAGTTCCCAGCCTCCTCCCTACATGAGGGGGACACACCATGTGGGGGCCGCTTGTAGGTTTAGATCTGTGCTTCTCAACGCTGGCTGCCTATTAGGGTCACCTGGTGTGCTTAAAAAATTCATGTCCAAGCCCCAGCTCAAATCAATTCCATCAGAATCTCTGGGCATCTGTATATTAAATGCTCCCCGGGAGATTCTAGTGTGCGGCTTTCGCAAGTTGGGTATTGAATGTAGATGCACGAGTGGATACTGAGTGCAGAGCAGGGTGTCATTCACCAACTTAGGATGCCGGGCACTGGGCTTGCACGGAAGGTCTGCTGGCGAATAAGATAGACATGACCTCTGACCTCATGGGGCTTTTTAGCTGGTACATTTATTTGAAAACTACTTATTGAGTACCACTTGGCTAACCCTAGAGGAGAGGCAGTGGTCCAAAGAAATAGCATTTATTAAACAGCACATGCCAGGTGCTGTTCCAGATGTGTAAAGTTTCACCACAGGAAGGATTACCCCCATTTTACAGATGGGAAAACCAAGGCTTAGAGAGACAGAGAAACTTGCTTTAGGTCACTGAAATAGTAAGTGGTGGATTCCTGGAGCCCTGGGTGGGCTGGACAAGGCTTCTGGGGGGAGGCAGGAAGTAGTCCCAGGTGCCCCAGGGGCTGGGGGTGTTGGGGAGCAGCTCCCCCCTTTGTCTCAGGAGCACGGCTGAGAGGCCCCAGGTGGTGTAAAAGCCTTTCAATTGTTTCTAACTTGGGGGATGGATTTTTAAAAATACCAGCAGGAGCCATTCAAATGATAATATGTACACAAAAGCAGCTTAGTCCGTTTAGGAAAACCTCTTTAAAAGACACGTCAGGACTTCGATACTGTTCCTGCATGTAGAGTGGCTCAGAGGAGTTTTATTAGCTCCGCAGCCTTTATTTTGATTAACTTGCAAATGAGATTTGTCCCCCTATGCACTGGTCCAGTCCCTCAAATCGTTAATGAAATATCTGAGCTAATATGGCTTTCATAATCTGTATCACAATACTGGCGCGCAGAGCAGACGGTAGCTAAGGGCAAGTGGGAGCAGGGCAGAACCTGGCTCAGAGCAGCCTGTCCAGAAGGACTCGGTGGCTCTGGCTCCCGGGGAATGGGTGGTGGAGGGCCTGGGTGCCTTCTGATGTTGGTGGCCTCCTCCCAGCCCAGCCTAGTGGATCTTCCTCTGGGAGATAGAAAGTGAAGGGTGCTAGTAAGAGCCACCAGCCCCCGATCTCTTCTGCCTTCCTTTTGATCACAAAAGCACTTTAATTTAGTGGCTCCTGAGTGCCAAGCCATGTTCTTATTAGTGACCTGGAAGTAATTACTCCTGGGAGTAATTTAAAAATACCTGTGCAAATAGCACCCAAAGCTGCAGGACTTCACTGGGTGACCTCTGAGCTTGAACCTGGGTGAGGGTCTGCCTCTGCCCTGGGAATTCTAGAATCACGGAGGGTCCACTGCCAATCATTTCATGTTAGAACACAGACCTGGGAGACCGGGAGAGGGGCTAGGACTTGCCCACGCCCCAAAGTCAGTTCTTCGGAAACGGGAGGCCCCAATTCTGCGGAGAGGGAGCTTCGGGCT